TTGTTCTTAGTTGTGTTTGTTTTCTTTTTTTGCGAAAGAGTTAGTTGTGTTTGTTTTCTTCTAAGATTTGCAAATGTAGATATTGGAATTACTTTTGCTCTATTGAAAACAATGTATTTGCTAAAAAAATGGATGTCCAAATTAAGTAGTCCGATGTGATTAAAGAAAATGGATACTGGAGATACGTCTATGCATGAAAGAGAGCAGGGTGGTCACTAAGGAGAAATTCAAACAAAATAATGGTATAGAGTTACTATATTATAAATGGGATGTTGGCGCTAAGTTATCATGGCCATTGTTTCCCGTCTCACACATGATTGCTTTCCTATCAAATGCATTTTACAGTTGATTCAATTTATTTTGCACACAGAGCTATCGGCCCTTTATGATTCATGAGATTGTTGACAAGTTATAGAAATGTTCTACAGTTTAAATTCCACCGTACAAATATTTTTAGCTTTCCGTATTATTTAATTATGGTTGTAGATTCACAGATCACTTGTACAAATGTTCTTCGGTTGGAGGAAGAGTGATGTGCCGACAAGAGAAGTTGTGAAAGTCTTGCATGCATGAGGATCCATAGAGCAACTCAAGCGGGTCCCGTCAAAACCGATACTGTGCGGCAACACACGAAGGTTCCGGCAGAACTGATTCCCTATCTCATACAAAAAATTTAAAACTAATTCACGCTACAAATTAAAAAACATAGTTCATCACACCCGAAACTAAACTAAACCGTCCGACTCTTACTCATCATCTACGCTACCGTGCGCTCCGTGGCGGCGAGCTCCTTAGCAGCGTCCCGGTACTACTTGATGTGCTGGAAAAGATTGTTGTGGAGCTCGTTGAAGCAGGCCCACAGGCCTTGCCAGCCACTTGGGAGAAGTTGCCGCGGTCGCGCGCCTGCTTGAACCGCCTTGGCTCGACGGCTGGAGCTGCCAGCTTCCGCGTCGCGCCGGGCGAGCTTGCACATCATGGCCACCACGCCCGTGAGCAGCACCGACCAAGGAGGAGAGGGGAAAATGGCGGAAATGGGGAGGGATTTGACGACGAAGGCCGAGATGGCTAGCGGCGGGGTAGGTGATATTGCGGCAGAGTGATAGCGTTTGGTAACATTAAATCCCGGCCGGACCCGTAGGTACAGCGTTGGAGGGACGGTTTTGCTGGTCGCCTCTATTTTTTTGCGGGCCGGTTTAAACTTAGTGGATCTGTTCAGGCCGCAAAAACGCATGTTCCCACAAAATGGCCGAAGTTTTACGGGCCGACGAGCTTTTCAGGGATCTGCTAGAGATGCTCTTACGATATATATTGGACATAATTTATATTGAACAACTGAAATATGTATATTCTGTTACAACGCACGGGCAATTAACTATATACTTAAAAAGAATGAAAAGTTTCATGCTTTACTTTTTTTGCCCCCCCTTCACCCAACCTTCGGAAGCAATTTCACTTCAATTTACTTACCAAACATTTTATCAAAATATAAGGCAAATCCGAACAAGATTTTATAAACATTTATTTACACAATCTCATTAGTATGGGCGTGTAAATCATAAGCTAACGTACTAGAATACTTAGAGCATCTCCAGCTACGCCCCCAGAACGGCCTTCCTAGACTATTTTTTCGCGTCGGTGCCGAAAAAACGGCCCAATCGCGCTCCCAGGAGTCCGATTTTCGCCGGACTGGACCGAAATCAGCGCCGGCGGACCCAGGCCAAACCCGACACGCTGGGGGCGCCCGGGGGCGCCGGGGTAGGTGGTTTTGGCGCGAAGCAGCCGCGGGCCCGCCGAGTCAGCGAGACAGGCATTTCGTCGCCCTCATCGCCTCGGTTCCCGCGGGAATCAATGCCAAGGCTGCCGCGCTGCCGCCACCGGTCAGCCTTGTCATTGATTCTTCACGGACGGCGCGTCACGGAGAGGCGCGGCGACGCCTCCCCTCCCGCCACGCGTACACACGGGCGCGGCTATTTAAGCCGGTGGCCTCCCTCGCCTCTAGCCACACCAGCCCTTGCCGCCGAGATCTCCCTCTCCCATGCGCCGCCACCGAGCCCTCCCTCTCCCTCTTCTGTGCGCCGCCGCCGAGCCCTCCCTCTCCTTCTTCCGTGCGCTCAATGGCCGCACGTTTCCCCGGCGACGCTGCGGCGGCCAATGGCTTCGACCGCCGCTCGCTCCGCGAACAGGAGTCGTGGCTCCTGTTCGAGGCCAACATCCCGGCGCCGCCGGACATGCGTGTCGGGCCGACGGGGTGGAGGCTCAGCAACGGGGGAGTGCCCATTCCCCCGTTGCCCGACGCCGTGGCGCACCCGCCCTAGTTCGCCGCCGTGGTCGAGCTCGTGCGCGCCTCCCTCACCGATGAGCAGCTCGCCCCCCCCCCCAGTACGCCACTGACAACCATGCGGCGTGGGCGGCGTACTTTGAGCGTCGTCAGGAGCAGCGGCTGGCGTCCACCAATGGGGCGCTGGTGCTGGACCGCACGAAGAACATTGAGGGGCGCCGCGTGTGGTGGGGCGTCCTCGGCCGTACGCTCGAGGGCGTGTTGGCGCACCTTGAGGGCGGCAATGACCCGCCGTTGGCATACCCTCCCCCGGCCGCCCCGGCCCACCGCCGACGCGCCGGGCAATGGATGCCCAGGAGGTTCGTCACTTCCTCGTCTTCCTCCTCCCACTCCTCGTCGCGATCTTCTTCCCACTCCTCCGGCTCTCCGGCGCTGCTCGGCGTCAAGGCCGAACCCGCGGCGGAGACGCCGCTCGGCCGGCGCACTCGCAACTCTAGCATCGTCATCAACGAGGGCGGGCGGCGCGCCTCCTCGTCGGCTCCTCCGCGCTTCGTCAAGCCAAAAACGGAGACGGGGCTTGCGCCGGTGAAAACGGAGCCAAGGCTCCCCGCCGTGAAGACGGAGCCCGATACGTGGAGCTCGACGACGACGCGGCCCTGAAATGGGCGCGCAAGGACTTTGTGAGGGTGGAGCCGGAGCGCCAGGTCGCCGCCCTGCGGCGCTTCGAGCAGCGCAGCCGGGGCCGCGACAAAGGAGGAGTCGTCGTCCTCGACGACGACGACGCGCCGCCGCCGCCACCAGTTCGGCATGGCGACGCCGGGCAGGGGTCCAGCAGGGACGGCCGCGTCAAGGAGGAGAAGGCCGACGACGACGACGGCGGCGAGGATGGCGGCGACGACGGCGACTACTCCGCGTTCAGTGATATTTTTTTAGTTATATTTGCTATGTAACGCATCGCGAATAATATATGCCAAAGTTTGCCGAAATTTAGCCGTGTTTAACCGAACTTCGTCGAACTTGTTTTTTTAAAAAAAAATCAGACGCACCTTGGGGCGGCCCTGGAGCCGGCGACTGGGGACCAACTCGTCCCCAGGCCGTTTTTTTGCGTCGGCTCGCCCCCAGACGGTGATTTTAGGCGTCCTCTGGGGGCCAACGGCCGAAGATGCTCTTATACCCGTTGCAACGCACGGGCATCGTCCTAGTAAAGTGACAAATTCATACACGATAGACAAAACATTATAGAACGGATAAAGTATCATAATACAACGCCTCTGTATTATTCCCCACGAGGAGAAGAGACACTTGCAGAGACAAGAGATTGACCCCACGTGCAGCCACACATGGCCAGAATCTCTACGGAATCTGAGTCCCCCGCTCGCCGCACTCCCGGACTGGCGTCTTCCCCATTATAAGCTCCGTCGTACTGTCATGAGTCATTGGCATAGCATCTGGATCTCGGAGTGGTAGTTAGCTGAGGTAGGCTATCACCCGTCCCTCCCAGTCTCAAGGTCGCAGAAGAAGAGTGAGCATGACAGGGCAGAGCAGCTACAGCCGGCTCGCCGGCGACGATGCCGCCGTGATATCCGCCGGCGGCGGCGACGACTACGACGCAAAGAAGCTGAGGCTGCTTGGCTACGAGCCGCAGCTCAAGCGCAATCTCTCGTACGTACTCCACTGATTCAGAAATCGAACATGCCGATCTTGTTTGCTCTGTTTAGCTGGCACATCGATCCTGTCGATCTATGAATTTAGTTTACTTCAATGGGTGTATAGGGCACATCTATTGCATATCTAAGCGACTTAATCATATATATATAAAAACATCCGCACAGATTTTTACATAATAAAATCAGTTAAATGTGCAATACTTAAAACACATTTAGACGTGCTTTGGCAAGGCGTACTTGAATTCTGCTTTGTTTGATGTGGTTACGTGTTAGCTAGCCACTGCTGGTTGCGTGTTTCGCTCTGTCAAGTGTCAACGACGGATGGGTTGCTTGCGGAAGCTGTGCTCCTTGCTTTGTCAAATGCAAGTCGGACTCGTAGAAGATGCGCCAAATGGTTGAGAGGATTTGTGCTTAATTTTTTCTAGAAAGTTTTGTGCGTACTTTTTTTCTTGAACACATTGTGCGTACTAATTCTTTGACATTAAGGTTTTTATAGAGATATTTTACGGTGCATCATACTCCTGTAAATAGTGGGTAGTATATGGTTGATCCAATGGTCATTATTGATCCCTGTTTTTTTTTCTTGAGGACATTTTAGTAATTGGTTGTAAGGGTAGATTAGTCCTTTCTTAATGATAATGTTATTAATTAATAATATGGGTAATTGCTGTGATTATTAACGTAAGTAATCACAGCTGGAATAGAATTGCCCTATCTTAGTTCGTAGGTTTCACTTCTCGTGCGTTCTTCATTTTTCTGCCGCCGCCTGCCGCCGCCTCTCTGCCTGGCAGCCGTCGCCTGAGTCGCACAGGGGCCGCCTCTCCTTCTCCCGCCCTGCGGTCGCTCCTTCCCCCCCCCATCGGTCGCCGTTTCCTGAGTCGCACTGGGGCGGCCGCTCCGTCTCCCGCCCTGCGGGCGCCGCCGCAAGATCTTGGACGGGCCCCAAGATCTTCAACGGCGCAGCCGGCCCGCGCCGCCCGGCGGCCCTCTCTCTCCATCGAAGGATCTTCGGACGGCGCCCGAGATCGGTTCCTCCGCGCGTCGTGGTTGAGATCCCTCGCATAGGTACGTTGCCTCTGATGCTCCCCAAACACCATAGCTGGGCGCACATGGATGCTGGCTGTGCACGCAATACAAATTCGAAAATGGCTGCTGGGTTTTCTGTCCGTGTGGATGCTGGATTAGTAGTGTGTGTGAGGTTCCTAGTTATTCTCTTTTTTCCTAGCAAGGAATAGTAGTGTGTGTGAGAACTCTCAGATTATGAGTTTGATATTGTGGGATGCATGTTACTTTGTACAAGAACATAATATAGATTTCTTAGAACATGAAAACGATGGGTTAAATTACTATGGTCAGTAGGATTCTTGGCTGCTCAGAAAATTAGTAAGGATGTCAGAGATTATTGGTTCAGTTACAGATTATAATCGTTGACAATATATAATTAATATGTTTTAGTTGCAGCGTATTTTCTTTCATATAAATATGTCACAGGTTTTGCTGTTTCTTATGGCAGGATATCGGCATGGCTGGCGAAGGCATCTCGATAGATGAATTTATGGAGTACGACTCGATGGTCAGCAGACATTTAAAAGTGAGAACGAAGCGTACAAGTTCTACTTAGGGTATGCGAAGAACAAAGGGTTTGGTGTTCGAAAGGGTGATCTGAAATATAAGGGAAACAGAGAAAATGCATACCGGAGGACGTTTGTGTGTTGCAAACAAGGATATCGTGACGTAAAGCACTTTGATGAAACCGACAAGAAAAGGACACCAAGGGCACTCTCTCGGTGTGGTTGTCCTGCTCTTTTGCAGGTTGAGCTTCAAGCAAGCACTGGGTTGTGGTTTGTAAAGAATTTTGTTGACCAACATAGCCATCCATTCATAAATCCTGAGTTGTCACCTTTCTTGTGGTCTCATCGTGGCATGACCGATCCACAGAAGGCGGATGTCATTGAGTACTCGGTTGGTGGACTTCGCACACATCAGATAATGGATGTGATGGAGAAGCAGGCTGGTGGTTTGGGCAAGGTTGGATTTATATCTCGCGATCTGTATAACCATGTCGCGTTGGAGAAGAAGAAAAAGATAGAAGGTAGCGATGCTCAATTTATGCTGAACTACATGACAGCACAACAGATGAAAGACCCAGATTTTTTTTACAGATACACCACAGACAGTGATGGGCATCTGCAGAACATATTCTGGGCAGACGCCCAATCTCGCTTGGACTATGTTGCATTTGGTGGTGTGGTGGTGTTTGACAGCACATACCGGTCAAACAAATATAGGTTGCCATTTGTTCCATTTGTGGGGCTGAACCATCACCGCAGCACAATCGTGTTTGGGGTTGGTCTTGTATCCGACGAGTCGGCTGACTCATATGAGTGGCTGCTTCAGGTTTTTTTGGAGGCAATGCACCAGAAGCATCCCATTTCAGCGATCACAGACGGCGACGCTTCAATGGCCAAAGCCATATCATCAGTCTGGCCCAGCACATATCACCGTCTGTGCAGCTGGCATATCGAGCAGAATATGGTGCTTCACCTCCGAAAGGAAAAGCTTAAGGAATTTAGGAAATTTATTTACTATGCCATGGAGGTTCATGAGTTTGAGAGACGCTGGTTGGCTTATAAGAAGAGATTCAGAATCACAAGGAAAAAGAAAGATGCATGGATTCACAGGATGTACGAGCTGAGAGAAAAGTGGTCTGTAGCATATAACAAGGGAAGGTATTTCCTAGGGATGTTGAGCAATCAGAGGAGTGAGTCTCTAAACTCGAGGCTTCATGTGCACCTGAATAGGAGAATGAAACTCGTTGATCTCGTGCAACACGTTGAACACTGTGTGTCAGTTTTGCGTAGGAATGAAGCAGCATTGGACGCTGTAGCTTCGCACACAATCCCCTTCACTAGATTGACTGCCGATCCACTTGAGATAAGTGCCTCATCTATTTATACCCCTGTTATGTTCAGTAAGGTGAAGGCCGAGATTGTCAACTTATCAAGATGGAATGTACTTGAGGTGGAAGAGGACACTGGTTTGGTTAGCTATGGAGTTGCTCGCAAAGAGTCGGTGCACGTTAGGTTCCATGTCACATGTATTTTTGATGGATCTAAGATGGAAAGTGCATATTGTTGTTGTAGGAAGATGGAAAGCGAGGATTTTCCATGTGCTCATATATTTTGCGTTTTGAAGTACAATGGGATATGCACCATCCCCGCATGTTGTGTGAAGGCTAGATGGACAATGCAAGCCAAGCCTGCTTTCCGTTCCGTGAGGAGTGCCAATACACATATATGGTCAGAACAGATGGATAAGTACCATGAACTGTGCAATATGGCTAGTGAGGCTTTATTCACGGCCTCAGCTAGTGAAATGCAGTCAGAAAAGGTGATGGAGTACCTGAGGAGCATATTGGACGAGGGCAACAGAAATGATGGGAATACTGGCACGCCATCATTTGTTCCTATGCCGGCTTATTTTTCTGGGGCGCGGCAATGGTTTACAGATCAAGTTCAAGACCCTAAACCAATAATAAATCCCAAAGGCAGACCAGCCAAAGAATCGAATAAGAGGTTGAAGCCATTCCTGGAGAATTTGAAAGCAAAAAAGAATGACTTCGTGATGGAAACACATATTGATATAGCAGTGATGCAAAATGGAATGCAAGGAAGTACATGGCCGGACACTCAAGTGGCTTCGTGGCCTATCAAAGACTATGAAGTGCCACAGCAAACAGATGGCTGTTCCTGTGCTCTCTGGGTGTTGAAATTCATCCAATATTGGACCGGAGTGAGATTGTCGGCTATATTCAACCAGGTGCCTACATCTTCCCTATCTAACTTAACTTTCACATATACAAAGGGTCCTAACATCTACCTCCTATGCAGGATGACATAAGACAGTTCAGAAGATGGCTTGCTGCTGCCTTGCTCAATTCACCTCACAATGAGTTGAAAGTTCGGAAGGCCATACCAGCAGTTGATTTAGAAGATGATTTAGAAGACCTCGACCTCGGAGGTGACGACGGACACAACGACAGCGGAGATGTCTCAGGAGACGATGGTTCCGCACTATAGTTGTATGGCGCTAGACTTAGGGTAGAGTTAATAGGATTGGGCGTGGTGTGGTTTTTGCCCCGAAGAAGGTTTCCACACCGTTTTCAGTTTTATTACTTTATCTATACAGCGGAGATGTATCAAACAATTTTTTTGGTTGTGCTACTTCATATATACGGCAAATTGCCGTACATTTACTACTTTTATCCGCATTGAATATCTACATTAATTTTTAATTAAAGTCTTTCACACACAAAATCTTGTATTCTTTGTTTAATGATGCAATTCCCTTTGGTTTATAGGATGTGCTTCAAAAACCAAATTTCTAAGTGGCTTTACACTTCCGGTCGCAATTTCCTTGTTACTTGTGTCCTTGGAAGCAACACATTCTTTTTAAACCTGGGGTTTCAGTTCTGTATTATGCCAATGAATGATAGGCAAATGCTGTCCTGTTTGCTTACCCATTTAATCGGTGATCAGGATTTTCTTGGCCACCAACTTGGGAACTAGCCATTGCCTAACCTCTGAGTGTTTATCAGGTGTACTAATTAACTAGACTGAACTTATGACTATGACTGAATCTGAAACTGAAACTGAAACATGCTCTCTGGAATCTGAAACTAAACATTCTCTGCACTGAAACAGAAACATCCTCTCTGGAATCTGAGACTAAAAATGCTCTGCACTAATATCACATACAAAAAAAATCTGCTGGTGCGATGGAACTCGTCCTCCTTCGAGGACCATGGCTGGATCAGGCTGGTGCGATGGAACTCGTCCTCCTTCGAGGACCATGGCTGGATCAGCTTTTACGATGGAGAAGCTAGCTTAGGAAATGGACAAAAGAAATGGGGGCCAATGGATCGATGGGTCGGATGCGAGTACCTGCATCGGCCGCGACAGATCTGTACGGCACTGGTCGGCGGCGCGTACGGCCTTCACGGCGACGGGGCATGCCGGCGACGTCTCGCCTTAGTCCTCCCCATCGGCGACCCGCTCCACATCCCGCAGCTTAGGAGGGGAACACGAACGGCGGGGACATTTAGCCGCCGACCACAGCCGCCTAGGACACCGGGGAGGGGCGGCGCCCGCGGTGCTGGCTCGTCCGGGTACGGCGGGGCGCCAAACCATACCGACCGCAAATACTGCGCGGAGGGCACTCACGGTGACCGGGGTTCGCCGTCGTCCTGTCGCCATAGCGCCGCCATCGATCGCCCTTTTCCTTTGACCTTTCATTCTGGTTGTGTGCGTCGGCCGTCAGACTGCGGGCGAGGAAGGGCGACGATGGCTATTGAAAAAACAAATGATGACGTTAAATTCCACTAATGCCCTTCACTTGTTTTTCGGGGGAACCAGCCCGCGTTTTCGTTAAACAGTGAACTACCGAAACTACCCCTGATCGCAAAATATACTACCAGAAATCTGTAGTATTTTCATATCGGGGCCATCCATACAGAAAAATGAACGGCCAAAATTCATCTGATGCACCGTAAAATGTCTCTTTTTATACCATAGTAGGATTCATTTGTTTCGCTCAATAAAAAAAGATTCATTATTCTCTAGGCGTTTTATATTATTTATTTTGAGCACAATTCACTAGGTTTTATTGATTGATGGTCACTGGAATACAATTTGGATTATAAGATTGGCTGAGCCAATGGCATTTTCATGGCCAATCCTATTTGGCGCGTAGGATATGTATACACTGAGGGCCGGTTCTCAACTAACTCCTTTTCGATTTTGGGAAGGTTCTAAAGCCTTCCCAGAACATTTTTCCTCTTTTTTTGTGTTTCTTCTTCGTGCCTTTTCTGCTTTTTTCCATTCGTTCTTTTCTTTTCCTTTTCATTTTCATTATTTTCTTTCTTTCATGTTTGTTTTCTTTTTTTTAGCATTTTTTAAAATTCGCTAATATGTTTTTAAGAATTCATGAATATTTTTCAGATTATGAATATATTTTGAATTCACAAACATATTTTCAATTTTGGAATTTATTTTATGAATCAATAAATATTTTTGAATAGATGACATTTTTGAAAAAAAAGATTCATTTTTGTCTAGGAATTTTCATATTTATTTATTTTGAGCATGATTCACTGGGTTTTATTGATTGATGGTCACTGAAATACAATTTGATTCATAGGGTTGGCTGAGCCAATGGCATTTTTATGGCCAATCCTCAATCCTATTTGGCGCGCGTACCATGTGTATACACTGAGGGTGTTGGATTATAGACGAGCTTTGGTCTATATAAGACTATAATCCTTCGTTAACCTCTAAGACCCATTTAGATGTATGGCAAGTGGTGAAAAGTTTAGTACCATACTGCCATAGTGGTAAGAGTGAGATCCCCTTTATAAGGGCTGCTCTACCACATGTCATTGGAGTTCGGTAAGAGGAATTGTACATACGTGCTCCTCCACCTCTGCCGCCAGCCTCGTCATGGCGCGCGCGCTGCGAGTTGCGGCAATGAGTCGAGCCGAGTCTTATTTTTTCTGGTCAAGAATGGTTAATTGATTGTGAATTTATTAACAAGCCGCTAATGGAAGTGTCATGGCCTATATCAGGAGGTGCTGGCCAGTGAGTGAACCCTAAGTAACTCACTTCCTCTTTGCATAACTCTAGCCGTCATCTACCGTTTCTCTTTGTGCTGCTTTCGGCGATCCCATCCCGATAACCGCGTGCACGGTTGGTGGTTCGAGATCCTGCCCGGGAGAACGATAATAAGGTTTTTGGGAGCGTTTCGGCGCGATTGCTCCCGATGTGTCCCCGTCTCCGTCTTCCTCTTCTTACACTAGTTTCCTTGCATCGACACCATGGTCGACGACGCAGAGGCTGCTGCTGCCACTGTCGCGTTGGCCTGGCCAACCGGAGCGTATGATTTGTTTATCCCCTATTTACTCGTTCATATGCTAGCTGTATATGTTGCGTTCATAAATGTCTCGGTTCTATGTACTATACATACTCACATGCTTAGGTATCAATATGAGTTACAAGCTGTGATTGCCATCGTTTACTCATGGATTATATTAAACGATATGGTGCTAATATTTTCAATAGAGAGCCTGTTCCCAACTAACTCCTTTCCGATTTTGGGAAGGTTCTAAAGCCTTCCAAGACTGTTTGTCCCCCTCACTTTTTTGTGTTTTTTTTTTGGTTTTTCGTGCTCTTTTTTTTCATTTTCCATTTTTGTTATATCCTTTCTTCCATATTCATTTTCTCCTTTATTTATTTTATTTTTCCTTTCTTTTTTATTTTGTGAACATCTTTTCAAATTAGTGAACTTTTTTTGAACTCACAATTTTTTAATGAAATGCAAACTATTTTTAAAATTCGTGAATATTTTTTAAAATTCATGAATGTTTTTTAAAATTGGGAACATTTTTTGAATTCACAAACATATTCTGAATTTTTATTTTTTTATTAATGATCAAATATTTGTGAATAGACGAACATTTTTTAAATTTGGGAACGAATCTTGAAAATCATTTTTTGTTTGACGAATACTTTTTTGAAATGTATGACTATTTTTATCGATATTTTTTATGTAATCCACGATTTTTTTTGAATTGTTTTGAAGCCATAAACATTTCTTGAAAACACGAACATGTATTCAAAATCATGAATATCTATTTTTGGATCCACAAATATTTACGATACCGAACGTTTTCTTCAAAATTCTAAAATTTTGAAACTTTTTCAAATCCCAAATTATTTGAAAGAAGGAAAAACAAAATGAAAAAATAGGGACGTCCCGCCTTATGTATCGACCCGCACAAAAGGAAGCATTGGGGAAGGGGGATGCGCGTTGGCTTGTTTGCTAGCACGTAGCGCCCTCGATATTCATGTAAAATAGGAGCCTCCATATTCATATGCAAGCCCCAAAACTAAGCTGAATTATCCGCATAACAAATTCGGCCCAAATCAGTTTATACAGATGTAATACGGAAGCCTTTCTAGCCGCCGCCTCCCCTCCTCCTCCTTCACAAAAAAGTTAGGGTTTCTGCCTCCTCTCCGGTGGCCCTAGGGCCATGGGGCGCGGTGGATCTCGGCAAGGGCAGGCGGGAGGACTACATTTTTAGTCGTTTCTTTCAGTTTTGCTAGGGTTTGTGTCCCGCTCAGGAAGACGAGACGGCGGCGGCTCCCTGAAGATGGAATAAAGGTCTCCCCGTCTAGCCCCCGTTCCGGTGGTGCGTCTAGCACCGTTGGTGGACGTGTGGACGTGTGTCTCCGGTGGATCTATCTTTGGTGGATTTCCTCGGATCTCATCGCTGTTCGTCTACGTTCGTGTGTGTTTGGATTAGATCTTTCTACGTTATTCTTCATCTGCGGCGGTTGCTGTTCTGGTGCGCTGGTCCTACGGGGCCTTAGCACGACGACTTCTTGACTGTCTACTATAACAAGTTGTGCCCGGTCCGGCGATGGAGGGGCGATGACGGCGGCGCGCCTTTGGCTCGCTTCAGTGCTGGTAGACGTCGCTAGGTGATCTACAGATCTGAATGTAATTTCTATTAAATGAATAGATCATAAATTTTCTTGCAAAAAAAAGGTTTATACAGATGTAGCTTTCTCTAAAAAAAAAGATGCAGCTTCATTATTTAGTTTTGGACCGATGTAGCTTCATTTCAACTGTTGTGTTGGCCGTAGAAGCCGCTCCACATGCTTCACTTACGAAAGCATCTTATAAAGATGTGTTGTGTCGCTGGATGACTCATGTTGCACATGCAGGCTGTTGTCCAACTTCTCGGTGACCTTCTCGATCATATCGGTCCTCACGGGCATCACTACGTTGTACGGGACAGGTCTCGAGTTTGGTGGACCGGTGGCCATGGTGTACGGTTGGCCAATCGCCGGCATCTTCACCATCATCGTCGGCTTAGCCATGGCCGAGATCTGCTCCGCCTACCCCACCTCCGGTGGACTCTACTTCTGGAGCGCCAGGCTCTGCAGCGAGCGACGTTGGGGCCCCCTCGCCTCCTGGTTCACCGGCTGGTAAGTTTACTTGTTTGATTTTCTCAGTATGTCTCATTTTGAATAAAGTCAGTATAAAGTTGGGATCTATTTTGGAAGGGAGCTCCTTGTCGCCTCGAATCCACTAGCCTCTAATGATTGATTCAGTCGGCGAAACTTGTCTCTTGTCGTCTCTTGTACCGAAGAGCAGCATATATGCGCCTCTTTTTGCTGTCGTGGCACGTAAGAATAAGGATAATCATCATCACGTGCTCGATCGGCAATTCTAAGCCGATATTTGGATTCACAAAACATACGTGGTCGATGGGAGTATTTTCTTTCCTTTCTCTGGGATGGGAGGGGGCGTAAGCCTGGATGCCGCGCAAAATTTGTTAGCAGGCGCGTGTGAAGCGTGCAAATCTCGGTCACATGGCAACGTACGAATCCCGATGGGTTGAATCGAATGGGTGCACCCCAGCTGGATTGCTGGAAAGAGAGCGTGCAAATCGCTTTGATTCATTTCTTTACAATGAGCTCGGTCGATGCTGCATGACTAGAAAGCTCATATTGTGGGCGTATTTCAATTTGAGACTAGCAGAGGGGTCCCAAATATAGGATCCACATTCTTTTTGGGAAAGAATCCACAGTAGATCCACGGGACGACCATCCTAGTTGGCAGATTCTCCATCCAGAGTAGAGTAACGAACCCCACATCTGGGGGGTGCCCACCGCACTTTTCCAGTTGACTCACTGCACCCCGCGATTCTCTCCTCTCCTCTGCAGCAGGCAACTACATATATCACCGCTGCTAGTCTCCCCTGACCCCGGACAAAATTACTGTTATAACCTCTCTGGCTAACAAAATCCCGATTTGACTTCGTTTATAAAAAAAATTTGTTTTTGACCTTTTTAGGAGACCCAACATCCCTGGCGTCTGGGTTGCGAAGCAGACGCCACGGATCCTGGCGTCTGGCCCCTGGCCCGCACTGCCCGCCTGCCCGTTGACCCGCTGATGTGGCAAAGGGGCCAGACGCTAAGGACCCTGGCGTCTGGCCCCGGTAACTGGATAACCCCACGGGAGAGTGTGTGGGACCCACCCCACACACTTTCCCCAATCCACAACCCGAGCTTGAAGAAGACTTGGAGCTCTCATACTCTCTCCCACCCCTCAAGCTCCCCCTCAAATCCTCTTCAAAAGGTGCATCCCTTAGGTGGATCTTTCCATCACTTTGCTGCTCTTGGTAATCTCCCCCAAATCATCCAATTATTTTTTGTTAAATCTTGCTATTTTGGTTGCATTTTATACATGTTGGTGGAACCCTAGTTCATGTTTTCTCCCCCATATGTTAGTGTGAATGGCTTGGTTAACTTTGATAATATAGTGCTATGCATGGTGTGTAGTAGGAATATATGTTTGTTGAGTAGAAAGATTGGTGGTTAGGGTTAGTTAGTGATTAGGGTTAACTTTGCTTAGTGTGTGTTAATTAGTGATACTTTTGTGGACATGACCAATAATTTAGTGTTGATATGATTTGGATATAATAAGATGTATTTGGATAAACACCAATTCTCATTGAAGTCTTAAATGCATTCATGTTATTTTTAGATGGAGAGACTTGTTAATGTTCATTACATTGACAAGGAGGCATTCTTGAGTAACAATGCCGACACGGGTTGTGACGCCCCGATTTAATCATACACTAATCATGCACGCAAATGTGTACGATCAAGATCAGGGACTCACGGGAAGATATCACAACACAACTCTACAAATAAAATAAGTCATACAAGCATCATAATACAAGCCAGGGGCCTCGAGGGCTCGAATACAAGTGCTCGATCATAGACGAGTCAGCGGAAGCAACAATATCTGAGTACAGACATAAGTTAAACAAGTTGCCATAAGATGGCTAGCACAAACTGGGATACAGATCGAAAGAGGCGCAGGCCTCCTGCCTGGGATCCTCCTAACTACTCCTGGTCGTCATCAGCGGGCAGCACGTAGTAGTAGGCACCTCCGGTGTAGTAGGGGTCGTCGTCGACGGTGACGTATGGCTCCTGGACTCCAGCATCTGGTTGCAACAACCAGAAAGAAAGGAAAGGGGGAAAAAGGGGGGAGAAAGCAACCGTGAGTACTCATCCAAAGTACTCGCAAGCAAGGAACTAAACTACATATGCATGGGTATATGTGTAAGGAGGCCATATCAATGGACTGAACTGCAGAATGCCAGAATAAAAGGGGGATAGCTAATCCTGTCGAAGACTACGCTTCTGGCAGCCTCCGTCTTGCAGCATGTAGGAGAGAGTAGATTGAAGTCCTCCAAGTAGCATCTTCAAGTAGCATATCCAAGCAGCATCTCCAAGTAGCATCGCGTAGCATAACCCTACCCGGCGATCCTCTCCTCGTCGCCCTGCGGAAAAGCGATCTCCGGGTTGTCTGTGGAACTTGGAAGGGTGTGTTTTATTAAGTATCCGGTTCTAGTTGTCATAAGGTCAAGGTACAACTCCAAGTCGTCCTGTTACCGAAGATCACGGCTATTCGAATAGATTAACTTCCCTGCAGGGGTGCACCACATAGCCCAACACGCTCGATCCCATTTGGCCGGACACACTTTCCTGGGTCATGCCCGGCCTCGGAAGATCAACACGTCGCAGCCCCACCTAGGCACAACAGAGAGGCCAGCACGCCGGTCTAAACCTAAGCGCGCAGGGGTCTGGGCCCATCGCCCTGAGCACACCTGCACGTTGCGAGGGCGGCCGAAAGCAGACCTAGCCTAGTGGCGTTCCAGTCCAATTCGGCGTGCGCCGCTCCGTCGCTGACGTCTGAAGTGCTTCGGCTGATACCACGACGTCGGGATACCCATAACTACTCCCACGTAGATGGTTAGTGCGTATAGGCTCGTAGCCAGACTCAGATCAAATACCAAGATCTCGTTAAGCGTGTTAAGTATCCGCGAACGCCGAACAGGGCCAGGCCCACCTGTCTCCTAGGTGGTCTCAACCTGCCCTGTCGCTCCGCCACAAAGTAACAGTCGAGGGCCGTCGGGAACCCAGGCCCACCACTACCGGGATGGAGCCACCTGTCCTTTCAGCCCCCTCGTCAGAATCACTTGCGGGTACTCAATGAGCTGACCCGACTTTAGTCACCATCTGTATAGTATGTATGTATGCATAGTATATACCCGTGATCACCTCCCAAGTGATCACGGCCCGTGGTATAGCAAGGCAGACTGACAAGAATGTAGGGCCAATGATGAAACACTAGCATCCTATACTAAGCAATTAGGATTGCAGGTAAGGTATCAACAGATGTAGCGACAATGTCAGGCTATGCATCAGAATAGGATTAACGAAAGCAGTAACATGCTACACTACTCTAATGCAAGCAGTATAGAGGAGAATAGGCGATATCTGGTGATCAAGGGGGGGGGGCTTGCCTGGTTGCTCTGGCAAGAGAGAGGGGTCGTCAACTCCGTAGTCGAACTTGGCAGCAGCAGCGTCGGTCTCGTAGTCTACCGGAGAGAAGAGGGGGAAGAAACAATGAATACCAAGTAAACAGATGCATATCGATGCATGACATGTCAAGAAGCGATGCTAAGCGTGCCCTAACGTGGTATAAGGTGGTACTGGTCAAGGGGGAATCATCCGGGAAAGTATTCCCGGTGTTTCGTGTTTTCGGGCAGAGGAGCCGGAGGGGGAAAGTTGCGGGTTCGATAGGTTAGGGGGGTGTGGTGGACGAACGGACTGCGTATCCGGAATCGTCTCGTCGTTTTGAGCAACTTTCATGTTGAAAATATTTTAATCCGGATTACGGATTAAAAGATATGATTTTTAAAAGATTTTATTAATTTCAGGAATTTAATTAATTATTTAATTAATTTCGAAATTTGCATTTATGACATCAGCATGATGTCATGCTGACATCATCAGTCAACAGGGTTGACTAAGTCAACCCGGACAGGTGGGTCCCGCATGTCATTCACTATTAACTTATTAACCTAATCAAAGTTTAACTAACCTTAGTTAATTAAGTTAATTAATGATTAGTGTTAATTAATTCAGAATTAATTAGTTTAATTAATTACCCAATTAATTTAGCTAATGATTAGGGTTAATTAATCCGGAATTAACTAGATTAATTAATTGCTTAATTAATTAATTAATTAATTATTTAGCTAATTAATTTAATTCATTTCTATTTCCATTTTAGCTTCTGTTTTTATTTAAAACGTTCTTTGTTTTTGTTTTTTTTTTATTTGGG